AGAAGCAGTGCTAGCTTTCCTAACTTGCAGTTAAAATCCAAACAGGTGGTCATGCAGAGAGACCTGTTATGTGTGTATTTCACCCGTGACTTTGCTATTAAGCAAGTATACCTGGACATGTATTTACAAACTGCAGTGACTCACAGCACACGTACAGTAATAGTGAATGATGAGTCGTTGGGCACTTATTTTTTCATGTCTCTTAACCTGAAAGAAACCTTGCAGATTTTTAAATTATTTTCTAGAAAACCATGCTGATTTAGTATATAAGATCTTCAAATAAGGGGATCCTGCTGCCTACCAAGAAAAAATGGGAAAAGCAGAGTTTGTAAACCACATGTATCATACAAACTGTATGCAAATACAATCATCAGAGCTTTCTTGAGGTGAAGGAACTGTAAAATCTTCCTGGTACACTAGTAATAGCTTGGCAGCATATCTGCTGACTGAGATCTCCTGACGTCTCTGTAGATGGGATACAAGAACCCTCTCTACTGACAGAAAGGAGATTCTCCCTCCATGAATCTCTTCATACGAACCATCAGATGAAGCTCCCTGTAAAGGCTATTTGCTGTGGAACTCCACAGACACTTACGTCAACTCTCCTAAGGGAATATGGCAAGATCAGGAGATACTGTGGGGGAAGATGATGGGAATTCCACTGCCATTACAATGCCAGAATATCTATTTCTACATATTTTTACCAGAGTTATGCTTGTCTGAAGCTTAAAATATAATCCACTCATGTTTTAACATTCTAGGACAAAGGCTTTCCAGTCTGAGTGGCTAGTCCAGACACACATCCTCTGTTTTTCCTCTTACACATTGTGATACCGATGCTCGAGCAGCAAAACTAAAGTAAAGATGAGATGGGCAGTAAAGGAATAATACTGCTAATGGATATTCTCTGAGCAGAGGACTTAACCCCTTGTCTGCAAAGACAGGAATTGCAGACATCCTCATTTAGCTTTAACTGCATTGCCTCAATTAAGGGGACAAACTGAAAATACACACGCAATAACTAAAGGTGTCTTGCCCTAGCAAAAAACTGCATGACAAATCACAGAATCACAGAATGGCTAGGGTAGGAAGGGACCTCAAGGATCATGAATCTCCAACCCTCCTGCCACATGCAGGGCCACCAACCTCCCCATTTAATTCTAGACCAGGCTGCCCAGGACCCCATCCAACCTGGCCTTGAACACCACCAGGGACAGGGCATCCACAGCCTAACAAAGAGCACCTTAACAAAATTGTACGTTGTTACACTTTCCTATTTTACCATTGCCTACAATAAAGACATTTTAATGCAGCTTCTTACATGACACCTACCAGCACAGTGCCTGTAGTTTACTGCTTTCAGTGAAATTTGATGCCTCCCAAAACCAGTGACATCTCCTCCGTTTCCACTTTCCTCTGTGTTTCAGAACAGAACAATATCGTCCCCAGCTTGATGACATGCCTTTGCTTGCTTTTCAACTCTTCTGAAGTGTAATCCCAGTTGCCAAGGTAGTCCAACTATCTCCTTCCTTCCCTGAGCACTAACCCCTCTTTTAAGCCATCTTGTACTTTTAATAGGATTCAAAATATTAACTAATAGTGAATTTAAACATACTGAGGTCTAGAATTTTTCCTCCATGAAAATGCAAAGCATCGGCTATTTCCTGAGTCAAGAGATACAAAAATATCCATAACCTGTTTTTACACAAAGTAAAATCACAACAAAGTATTACTCTTTAGATATTAGGAAAGCCTGATTCTTACCTTTCATAGAAATTGCTATAAATGATAGCATATGTAAAATGTTGCATTCAGTAACATTTCTAATCATAGTATGGTAGGAGTATTTGTGCTCTGCATGGAATGCCCTCTGGCTATCTGCTCTGTTACTGTTTCACTCTCAGTTTTTCTGTCCCATTCACATTCTCCATTCTCACCTGGATTATCCAAGAATCTTGCCGTGAGCAGGAAATGCTGCTGACCACCTGGAGCTGGTTTCAGCCACAAGTTAAGTTGGCAATTAAACTGATTTTGTTCTTGTTTGAACTGCAGAATCTTCAGTGTGACAACGCTGTCATTAAGGACACCGTGAGATAGAAATACTCTGGAAGTGCAGTTCAATCTTATCCACGTTCAACAGCTGACCCGTGTTTTACCTACTGTCCACACATGTTGGAGCTGTTCAAAGTACAAAGACCATGTAATGTGATATCTCCTTACAATGAGAAGGGGCTTTAAAACCGACAAACTGGGAAGACCTTTTTTTCCCTTATCCTCCTATGCAAAGGTTCAAATTCACAGAGCCTCAAATTAAACTGCAGAACTGAAACAATCCATGCAAATCACACTTGGAAGTTGTTATTAATAGACTCCATCACCGAGACTTAAAAAAAAATAAAAATCATACTGACTTTTCCTTAATTACAGCATTAAAGTTACTCCTGACAAGCTCATATCCATTAATAGAGCCTCACGACCTATTTACCAAAATGTGCTAAGTCAGCACAGGTCTCAATTACCTTATCTAATTAAGAAGTTATATAAGAAAGTAATTACAGAAAAATTTACTCAAAACTAAGTGTCAAATTTCTTCCCTCTTATCTGTGTGCACTCATAAATGCAAGTTGCATAGATGAACTTCAAGACAAAATTAGATCTCAGATCAAGCAACCGTGCCTGGCAACATGAAGTAAACTTCAGCTGCCAGATGGTACACACCACATCCATATACATACAAGGCAAAACCATAGGTGGCTAATTTACAGCCTTAAAAAAAGATTAAAAATAAAATAAAATCACAAGCTAAATAAAAAGGCATCCTTAATGCCTTTTTTCATTAAAAATGCCTTTGTTTCATGCAAACACAAATTGTCTCAAAGTGAATAAATAAGCTCAGCTGTGTTGTGCAATGATTCCATTAACCTTGCAATCAAGCGTTAAATTAAATTGCCTCATTTAGATTTCCCTGCTGCAGGGGAAAATATACCTTCTAAGGTCTGTGCTTTACATTACCAGAGCCAAAGAGCGAGAGCTTCACCACTAGACTTCTACAATTAATAACATCAGAAACAAAACAGGCAACCTGCAAAAGTTCCTCTGGTAACTTTTTAATGATTAACCTTATATTTAAAGGTTCATGGCCTTTCACGCCCATTCTCCCATGCAATCAATCAAAATCTGCTTTGAACGAGCTACATTTCATCTTCATGTTTCTACGGACACTGGTAAAGCACCTCCGAACTCCTGCTTCCCTCTCCACAGAATCAAGAAAGCAATGCACTACCACACCAGTTTTATTAAAGCCCTATTCCTTAGGCCAGTTTTCACCCTGTAAAACTGCAGATAAAACCAAGATATTCTTTTCCTGTTGCTTAAATTGCAAATTATGGTCACCCAGCAACCAAAGGGGAGCCATTTTTTAATTGCTGAGCTATTGTGAGGAAATGCTGATCTTCTACGTAAGATGAATAAGCCTGCATTCCAAAATGAAAAGACTGTCAAAGCAACACATACTAACATCACCAAATCTTGCACTGGGCTAATTCCTCAGTGATCTCCTGTTGCAGCTAACTTGCCCATCACACACAGTCCTCACTGTGTGTCAGCCCCCGCCCCAGTATGAGCTGAATGAATTATTTTTAATGTGACATTAACTAGGGACTGCATTTTAGTGTGTCACAATCCCATTTTAAGTTGGACAACATTTAAGCACAAAAACAACACCTCTTATAGAACACATGTAATGGGTCCTTGTGTGGTGGCATCTTCAGGAAAGGAGACAATTAAATAAAGTGTGAGAACAGCTTATATACCAAGCAAGCACAGGAACTATCAGGGGAGGACTACCTCTTCAGAAGGATCACTATTACTTAAGCAATAATACAGTTTACATTAGACTAATCCTGTATTATATACAGGACATATATACATACAGCTTTGGTTAATGTGGCAAAGCCACAGCAGCAAAGCATGATACTTGGTTTGTCTTCAGTTATAGCACTAGGTGGCAATGCCTTCACCCACAGGCAGCCAGGAGTAGTGCTCTCGGCTGAATATGGGTTTTAGGTTGTAAATTTCAGAAACAGATATGAGCTCCTGAGAAATCTAGGCATACTTTCCAACTGGAAGTGTATGCTAACTTAATAATCAAAACCGAGCTGAGATTCTCTGAGAGGCTTTCATTCTTTTATTGAAAGCCAAAACAATACAGCATGGCTTTCCTTGAAAGCAAGACAAGCTTCTCCATCATCATCTGTCCCTGGTATTACACCTTACTGCATGCATCTCTATCAAGAGAGTACCAGTTGTGTCCAACTCATCAACTACAGCTACACCCCAGAAAGATAGACAACAAAAGCAAACAAAACTTATGGTTTGAAAATTGGTTCAAATCTGTAACTCAAATCTTAGGGTCAGATCATGGAAGGAAAAGGATACAGTTCACTTACTGCATCAACAGTAACACTCATCAGGTTTTGTGTTTGGAAGAGAAAGCAGCAGCTACAGGCCAATCCATTAAAAGCAGAAGTATTTAACTCATTTATCTCAACTCCAACAGAATACAGGGCTCATTACTGTCCATCTACCTGCTTCTTTATGGATCACAGTACTGTTAATTATGGATTTTTAACCTCCGTCCTAATTGTTGATCTTTGGCCTTGACCTTTCATGCGGAGTCACCGGACTTGAAAGAATCATTGGAAGTGAAAAGAGAATTAGGCCTTTTTTCTTTCAAAAGCTATTAAAATTAAGTTTCACATTTTCCTGTGTTACATCATGCACACAGAAAAACAGGTGGGAATACAAGTGAGAAACCGGAAGACAAAGCTGGTATTCATCCTGAGCCTTCCATGAATGTGTAACCTAACATACTTTGCAGAAGTCATAGCCACGTATTCAGTACCTGAATTCCCAAAGCTGTAGAATGTTCCAGTATGCACTGGATACAACTTGAACTAAATGCACAACTGCATCCCAGCATTTGCTGGGTGAGAGCTTACCTGTCAGCATCTCCAAGTCCCAGAGACGTGTTGCGCTGCATGGTCTCCCGCACTGCAGCCATGCCATCAGGCAGCCGGTTTAGCCTTCGCGTGTAGAGGCCCAAGCCACCATCTGTCATATACCTTAGAAACAACAAAACATCACTTTCAGTAAACCCATCAAATGTTCAGATATTAATGCACTGTGTTAACCTTCAGCGTGTTTGTAACTGCAGAACGCATTTCCCATGCTCTCGCGTTGAGAATATTTCCCAAAACACAAAGCAAGGAAAAGTTTATTCTTGATAATACTGGAGACCTTTTGCCCCTCTCTCATCATTCTCTACTCCATCTTGCAACCTTTCACATTAATAAGAACTGGACTTCAGCATAACTGTGACCTACTCTGGGGAGCCTGCTTCAGCAGGAACATTAGACTGGATGATCTCCAGAGGCCCCTTCCAACCCTCACGATTCTGTCAGACAAAGGAATAATACTTACCCTTCATTATTGCTGTCTCAATGGAAATCATTCAATAGTTGAGAATGATACAATCACTTATCCCCTCCTACCACAAAAAGCACAGTTTATCCCATGCTGAACTATGTTGTGTGGACATCACAGGGGAATTCTCAAACCTTTCACAATTTAACTGCAAAAATCACAGTGAATTCACCCTAGGTTTTTTCAATGGTGCATGAACAATTAATAACCCAAGATTTACAGAGAGAACTCAAAGATGCAATGTGAAATAAAACCTTGTTTCAATCTTGTTCCAGCTCCTGTATTGTTTTCTGTCTGTAACTATGACTTAGAGACATTTGCCTTTTAGAAGTGCTATTATTTTTAGGTATTAGGAAATGACAGGTATGGATAAGATATTTCACCAATTGCTAAGATAACACATTTCTTACTACCTTGGGAGTGAAAAGACAGCAGCTCACTGAATTATATTCTGATACACTAGACATCTTCCTCTGTTAAAAGGACACATAGTTTTTCCCTTACAGCAAGGCAGCCTCATTCACAGCAAGAAAGGAAAGACACTCCTAGCTTCAGTTAGTAATGCCTCTATCAGGGAGAGGGAGAGTGGAAAAGCAGTTTGCACGAGTTGTGCCTCTGCATTTTTTCTACTGCTTTCCTCAAAGACGTTGCTGCAACAGATGTAGTTTACCAAAGTCAAATTCAATTACTGCATTTAGAAAACTGGGACAGTAAAAAGTCAACAAAGCTCATGCAGTCTGCTGCTCAGCATTTGAGTTAGATTTATGAATCTCTATGGTGCCTGCCTTGGAACAACGGAGGAGTCCCTCTGGGGAGTTTAACAAAGAGATTGCTAAGCTGGTAAAGCCAGACCCCAGACGATTCCTCGTTCAGCAAATCTGCGGGTACGAGGTTGTCGGAGCTCACAAACAACGACTCTAAAAAGAGGGGAGCAGCTCTGCTGCAGCAAGTGTGGAATTTGCCTCAGGTCTTTGCATTCTAACATTTGCTTGACGTAGCTGATAAATACTATATCGTGGAAAAACTTTTTTTCCCCCTTAACCTACTAAAGTAAAAGGGAAAGAAAAGCGGAGCTTAAGACCACATTGCTGTACAAAGACATAAACAGCATTTTGCAAAAACAGCCCATGTACACACGTTAATTGGTTTACTGCAGGTACTTGCCTGCACATGAAACCTGCTCCTGCGTGAACACCCACTGCACACGTACTGCAAAGAGCAGCTCTCAGCTTTATTGTCAGGCTTCACCTCCCCCTGACATAACTAGACCTTCGATGAAAGACTGCAATGGATTGTTCTCCATGGTTATTACCAGAATCAGTTCAATGAAACAAGTTACTCTCAGGAGTTGTTAGTCATGCTGAAATCAATGGAAAGCTACTAATATCAACACATTTCACACTCTGCGGAGAAGCTCAGCAAGCTGATAGATCAGAGTAACTGCAGTGGCATCGAAGTGGAAAACAGCAGATTTATTCAACGTCTTTGTCATGAGGTTTCACAAACCAAGACACCTTACAAGAGCACGGACAGACAATGCCTTTTACCCACTGTTCCGACGAGTTTCTTACACGTCAGGACAACACAAGATGTACACGGTTTTGTATTTTGAAACAGGCTTGTGTAATCACGGATTGAAAGCTTTATATCTTATTTTTACTACATGCAATGTTCTCCACCCAGGAATGCTTAATTTCAGAAAAGACTTGAGAAGGAATAATGCTTAAAGTCCTGCATGAAACATGGAGGCCAAAGAACACGGGGAGGTACTGCCTTGTGGCAGAGAAACATGCACTGACATTAAAGCAATTTTAAAATAAAGTAAGTTTGCTACTACTCATAGGTTATGCAGGAGAAGAGAGCAAGAAAGCTACTGGTGCCAAAAACCTCCAGCCATTGCTTTCTTCTCCTTCTTCCCCATCCCTCCAAACCCCTTGGCTCTCAGAGGCCATCTTCCTTTTATGAATACACTGTTGTTATCGCTGCTCATTTTTGCCTTATGACAAGGGAGAATATAATTAATATGTTTCTGAAGACAATCTTACAAAGTTTTCCTCAGAGAAGAATAAAACTAGGAAATTCACCTTATGTGTATAATTCTAACAGTTCTCAATGATATCTGAATCATCATACATCTCTATACTAACCTCTAAACCAAACCTACTTATTCCGATTACAGACAAAAAAGAAAACTTTAATCCCCATCTTTAATACCCTTCTTCCGCCTGCAGAAGCAGTCAGCACTAGGGTTGTGTGAGAATAAATCTCTGACAAGATCACTGGGAGTGTACCTAAATTTCCAATTTCATGTGCCTGTCAACTCCTCTAACAACTCCTTAAGCGTTCCCCTGAGTACAAGCATTTTCCTTGAAACAGCTTTGCCTCCTACACAGTGATCCACTGCAGTCAAACAATTGTATTAGGGCAATTATCAATTAGGTTTAATTTCTTTGGCTTTTCTTATTAAAAGCACGACAAATATCTACTTATTAAAAGCACTGCATTCAGCCTTGCTGAATTCACAAATCACAGCAACTCTGCAAGCAGTTCAAGTTCAGTGTAAAAACAAGCACTTCAAAATACTTCCTACCTACTCCCAAAAAAGAAAAGTGGGAAAAGTATAGCATCTGGACTCAGTGACTTTCTGAATCAAATTAATAGCTCAGATCTTCTAGAGATGGTACCAACAGGTAGTGGAGACTGGCTGTCAACACTAGAGTAGCATGTACTCAAATTTGATGAATGAGACAAAGATGACATTGGTTACATGGATTTTCTAGTCTTTCAGGAATGAATACTCATTACTCTTCTCTATAGTTTTACTCTTCATCTTCAAGGAAATAAATTTAACCACACCTCTTTCTTTCACTAGGAAAAGACTCAGGTTAAACAAGTGCAGTATTATGCATTCCAGCACAACTGGAGTTCACAGCACACTTTCTAGGCGACACTTCAAGAAAATGGCTTCCTGCCCTGTATTACAAGTATAAAATAATTTGCTTTGGAGTTCCCTGGACAATCTGGATTTGTAAACTTCTCTTTTCATTAGCCAAATACATCCTTTCTGTGCCTCTGAAATTTTGAATGCTGTTCTAAGTCCTTCCAAGAGCAATACTGTGAGGTTATTTCCAATGCCGAAGTGATTCATTTCCCACTCCTGAAAGGTATTTACAGGGAACAAGAACAGGTTACACAAGGGATCCGTAAAATTTAGCGGTCTTAGTCACCTGGTTTCTGCTCACACTCTGTACTTGCTCAGGTATATCTAGACAGCCAACAGCACACTCACTTTCATAGTCCTTCATGGTCTGGAAACTTGTACCACTCCGTATATATTCATTTCACTCTTTAACATATGAATATGACCGTCCCAATTTTGCAAACCGCTTGCGATGGGACAGGCACTCTTTACTTAAGAATTAATACTTAAGTCATTTCTCCCCTCCCCCAAGTCCTTCAATTCATTGTTCCCTACTGGCACTCTCCACTAAATGCCCATCATGATCTGTTCTTTGTCTTTCTAGCCAAAGCCTGTCTGTAAGTCTGGTTTAAATCCCACTTTGGAACCCTGTGAATTTCAGCAAAGTCAGTCGCAGTGGGATCAGGTCCTTAGCTTTCAGTTTGGCACTGCTAATACAATGCTCATATATCTAACATTCAATCCAAACGTCACCTTTCAGGTTCACAGAAGCATAAACCTAGTGTTCATTTAACTTACAATTTCACTTCACATTTAAGGTAGTGTGTTAGTTATAAATTGATAGACTTTTATGAATAATCTTTAAATAGTTACAGTTGAAAAACTAATGAATAAATTATGAGTTGCTTTGAGGATGCTCAAATCCAAACACAGACTAAAACCAGAAAAAAAACTACAAATGACTTGCAGTTTCAAAAGTCATCATCACTGCATAAGGAGACATTCACTCCAGTAACAGGCAAAAGAGAAACGAGATTACACAAAATGTAGTAAGTATATTTTAGTTTCACAGCTTATTTAGTTAAATCTCCCAACTGTAAAGCATGTGAATAAGATTATATTCATACAAATATTTTATATTGCATTATGTAAAATATAAGCACTCTATTTATTATATTTTATATTCCCCTTTGTTGTCTCAGTTATCTTCCCCTTCTATATGCACAGGTTGAAGCGTAACTTATTCCTCTTCATCTGTCCTGGATTTGAATGGCCCTTCAGGAATGAATGGGACACTGCATCTTGAAGGAAAACTCTTGTTATGGCCATGAGAAACTTCAAATGCCAATATTAATTATTAACAGTCTCAGAAGCAGGCTTAAAGGCATCCAGGTGATTAAAACATGTTTAAGATAGCAAGAACTGAGAAAACTCATGGGAAGACATTAGGATAGATCACCCCAAACTTCACAGAGTAATTTGGGCAGTGACTCTGATGACTTTACTAAGACTACACAAGGTTTCATTTAAGCCTCAGGACTTCATAAAAAGAACTTTTGCCTTCATAATGACTAATCAAAGCCTAATTATTTTATGATGCAATCTTGCTTACTGTTGTTTCCCACATTTTTCCTAAAACACGTTTAAATCTGAGCAGAACTAGTTCAGCCAGTGAAATTCAACGGGCCCACTACAGTGGAACATCTTCAGCCATACAAA